AAAAAAAAAATCAAAGCCAGCGGACCTGATGGGATCCCTGCTGAAATTTTTAAAGGAGGAGGACCTGAGCTGACACAACAACTCCACCACCTCATAGAAAAAGTGTGGGTGAGCAAGAAAACCCCAGCAGATCTCAAGAGGAAGGACTGGGGGTCTCTATTACTAGCCCCTCATTGGGTGGGACCCCCCCCCAGGGTTAGCCAGTGGGCGGGGTTTTCCCCAGGCCACGCCCTCCTCCTCCTTCCCTGCCTCCCTCCCTGCTCCTTTCAGTCGTGCCCAGGCAGGCGGCCGGAGAGAAGCCTCATCCTCATCCTGGCGGGGAGCGCCTGCCTGTCCTGGTGGTCCTGCTCCCCCTCCTCGCCCTCCTCCTCTCCAGCCATGGACTACTCCTACCTGAACTCGTACGACTCGTGCATGGCGGCCATGGAGGCCTCGGCGGCGTACGCGGCGGCGGACTTCGGCTCCCCGTGCAGCCAGGGCGGGGGTCCCGGGGGCGCCGCCGCCTTCCAGTACAGCCCGCTCCGGGGGCCCTTCGCCGCCGCCCCCGCCCCCGCCGGGACCCCCCTCGGCGCCGCCCCCCAGTGCGCCCTCGGAGCCGCCCTCCGAGAACACCCGCCCGCGCCCTACGCCGCCGGTGAGCAACGGGACGCAGACAGCCGCGCGCGCCTCTGCCCGGAGGGGTCGGGTGGGGGGGGGACTCTGGCAAGGCATGCGGTGGCAGGGGAGGGAGGGCCCAAGTTGGACCGTGCCTAGTGTAGGTGCTCCAGCCTTCTTCCCTTTCCCTTCCTTCCTTCCTTCCTGCCTTCTTTCTCTTTCTTACTCTCCTTCCTTTCTCACGCCCTTCTTTTCGTCTTTCTTTCTTCTTTTCTTACTGCCCTCTTTTCCTCTTTCTTTCTTTCTTTCTCTTCTTCTTCCTTCCTTCCTTATACCCTTCTTTTCTCTTTCTTGCTTTCTTTCTCTTTCTCCTTTCTTACTGCCTTCTTTTCCTCTTTCTTTCTTTCTTTCTTTCTTTTCTTTTTCTTCTTCTTCCTCTTCTTCCATCCTTCATTACACCCTTCTTTTCCTCTTCCTTTCGCTTCTTCCTTTCTTACACCTTTCTTTTCCTCTTTCTTTCTTTCTTACTTTCTTACTTTCTACCTTCTTTCTCTCTCTTTCCTTCTTTCTTTCTTCCTTCCCTCTTTCTTTCTTCTCCTCCTTCCTTTTTTCTCCTTCTTTCTCTTTCTTTCCTTCCTTCCTATCTTTTTACTGGCTTCTTTTCCTCTTTCTTTCTTTCTTTCTTTCTTTCTTTCTTTCCTTCCTTCCTTCCACCCTCTTTCTGTTTTCTTTCCTCCGTCCTTCCTTTCTTACTGCCTTCTATTTCTTTCTTTCCTTCCTACCTACCTTTTTACTGGCTTCTTTCTTTCTTTCTTTCCTTTCTTCCACCCTCTCTTTCTGTTTTCTTTCCTCCTTCCTTCCTTTCTTACTGCCTTCTATTTCTTTATTTCCTTCCTTCCTTCATTTTACCCTTTCTTTCTGCTATATTTTCCTTCTTTCTCTCCTTCCTTTCTTACTGCCTTCTTTCCATCTTCCTTCCTTTCTTTTTCTCTTCTTTCTTCTTTCTTTCTCTCTCTCTCTTCCTTCCTCTTTCCTTCCTACGTTTCTTTTTTATTTTCCTTTCTTTCCTTCCTTCCTTTCTGCCTTCTCTCTCTTTCCTTCTTTGCTTCCTTCCTTCCTTCTTTCCTCCCTCCCTCCCTACCTTTTTACTGGTTTCTTTTCCTCTTTCTTTCTTTTTCCTTTCTTTCTACCTTCTTTTACTCTCTTTCCTTCCTTCTTTCTTTCCTTTCTGTTTTCTTTCCTCCTTCCTTCCTTTCTTACTGCCTTCTATTGCTTTCTTTCTTTCCTTCCTTCATTTTATCCTCTCTTTCTGCTATATTTTCTTCTTTCTCTCCTTCCTTCCTTCCTGCCTTCTTCCTCTCTCTTTCTTTTATTCTTTCTCTCCTTCCTTTCTTCCCTTCTTTCTTTCTCTTTTGCCTTCTCTATCTCTCTCCTTCCTTCCTCTTTTTTCCTGCTTATTCCTCTTTCTTTCCTCCTTCCTTCCTTTCTTTCTCTCTTCCTCCTTCTTTCCTTCTTGCTTCCTTCCTTCCTTCCTACCTACCTACCGACCTTTTTAGTGGCTTCTTTTCCTCTTTCTTTCTTTCTCTCTTTCTTTCTTTCCTTCCTTCTTTTCTTTCTGCCTTCTCTCTCCCTCTCCCCTCTTTCTTTCTCCCTTTCCCCCTCTCGTCCTGCTTTCTTTCCTTCCCTTTTTTTCTGCCTTCTATTTCTTTTTCTCCTTCGTCCTTTCCTTCCTTTTCACCTTTCTTCCCGCCTCCTTTCTGTATTTTCTTCCTTCCACCCTCATTTTCCGTTTCCTTCCTTCCTTCCTCCCTGCCTCCTTTTTCTCTTTCTTTTTTCTTTCCTTCCTTTCTTCCTTCCTTTCCCCCTCTCTCTGCTTTCTTTCCTTCTGTCTTTCCTTCCTTCCTTTCTGCCCCCCCCCCCTTTCTCCTCTTCCTTCCTTTTCCTTTCTCTTTTGCAGCAGGTGAGAGGGAGGAAGAGACAGCCAGCCGCACGCGTCTCTGCCGGGAGGGGTCGGGTGGGGGCCTTCTTGCAAGGTGTGCGATGACAGATTATGCCAGTATGGGCAAGTTAGAGTGCTGAGCGGGCATGGGCCAACTTGAGCCCTCCCTCCAGGCCTTTGCCCATGCCTAGTGTAGGTGCACCAGCCTCCCTTCCTGCCTGCCTTCTGTCCTCTTTTTCCTCTTTCTTTCTCTCCTTTTTTACTTTCGTTCTTTCCTTTTCTCTCCTTCCTTCCTCCCCGCCCCTCTCTTCCCGTCTTCTGCCTTTCTTTCTTTCTTTCTTTCTTTCTTTCTTTCTTTCTTTCCTTTCTTTCCCTCCTTTCTGTCCTGCCCTCATTTCTTTCCCTTGTCTTCTTTTCCTTTCTTGCTCTGTCTTAACTTCCCTTTCTCATACATCTCCACTTTCTCTTCTTCCCCCTTCCTTCATTTCCTCCTCTCTTTCTGCTTTCTTTCTTTCTCCAACCTCCAAGTCTAACTTATTTCTTTCTTCCTCTTCTTTTCCTTTCTTCTTTTCTCCTTCTTCTTTTCTTTTTCTCTGCCTTCTTTTCCTTCTTCCTTCCTTCCTTCCTTTTTTCTTTTCTCTCCTTCCTTCTTTCTTCTCCCTTTTCCTTTCTTTCCTTCTTTATCTCCTTCCTTCTTCCTTCTTTTCCTTTCTTTCCTTCTTTATCTCCTTCCTTCCTTCTTTCCTTTCCCCCTCCCTTTCTTCTTTCTTTCTTTCTTTCTCTCCTTCCTTTCTTCTTTCCTTTCCCCCTCTCTTTCTGCTTTCTTTCTTTCTCTCTTTCCTTTTTTACTGCCTTTTCTTCCTTCCTTTCTCTCTCCGTCTTTCCTTTCTTGCTGTATTCATTCTTTCCTTCTTTTTCCCCTTTCCCTCTTTTTCTGCTTTCTTTCTCTCCCTCATTCCATACTTTCCTACTTCCTTTTTTCTCTCCTTCCTTCCTGTCTTCTTTCCCTCTCTCTTCCCCTTCCTCCTTTCTTTCCTTCCTTTTCGTTTCTTTCCTTCCTTCCTTCTCTGCCTTCTTTCTCTCTTTCTTTCTCTCCTAACTTTCCTCCTTTCTTTCTTTCTTTCTTTCTTTCTTTCTTTCTTTCTTTCTTCTTCCTTCCTTCCCTTTTCCTCTGTTTCTGCCTTCTCTCTCTCTCTCTCCTTCCTTCTTTCCTTTCCTCCTCTCCCCCTTTTTTCCTGCCTTTTTCTTTCCTTCATTCCCTCCTTCCTTGCTTGCTTCGTTTCCCCCTCTGTTTCTGCTTTATTTCTTTCTCTCATTTCTTTTTTACTTCCTTCTTTTCTTCCGTCTTTCCTTTCTCCGTCTTTCCTTTCTTGCTTTCTCTTCCTTCTTTTCCCCTTTCCCCTCTTCTTTTCCTTTTCTCTCTCCTCTTTCCTTTTCCTTTCCTTTCTTCCTCCTCCTTCCTTCTCTCCTCTTCTTCCCTTCCCTCTTTCTTTCCTTCCTTTTCGTTCTTCCTTCCTCCTTCCTTCCTTCTCTGTTTCTTTCTCTCTTTCTTCTTCCTTTCTTCCTCTTTCTTTCTCCTTCCTTCCTTTCTTCCTCTTCCTTCTCTCTCTTTCTCTCTTCCTTTCCTCTTTTTTTCTCCTTTTTTCCTCCTTCCTTCCTTCCTTCCTTCTTTCCTTGTCTTTCTCTTTCTTCTCTCCTCCTCTCTTTCTTTCTCTCCTTCCTTTCCTCCTTTTTCTCCTTTTTTCTCCTTCTTTCCCTCCTTCTTCCTTCTTCCTTTCTTTCTTTTCTTTCTCTCCTCCTTCTCTTTTCTTTCTCTCCTTCCTTCCTTTCTTTCTTCTTTCTTTTTTCCTCCTTTCCCTCTCCCTCCTTCTCCTTCTTCTTCCTTCTTCTCTTCTTATCTCTTCTCTCTTCTTCCTCCTTCTCCTCCTCTTTCTTCTTCTTTCCTTTCCCTTCCTTCCTTCTTCTTTTCTTTTCTTCTCTTTCTTTCTCTCTCCTTCCCTTCCTCTCCTTCCTTTCCTTCTTCTCTCCTTTTTTCCTTTTCCTTCCTTCCTCCTTCCTTTCTCCTTCTTCCTTCTTCTCTCCTTCCTTCCTTCCTTCCTTTTCTGTTTCTGCCTTTTCTCTCTCTCTCTCTCTCTCTCTCTCCTCTCTCTCTCTCCTTCCTTCCTTCCTTCCTTCCTTCCTTCCTTCCTTCCTTTCCGACAAGTGGATACCGAGACCCCGGGGTCCCTTTTCTGTGTCCCGCAAAGCGTTCCCCCCTTCGGAGTGACATCCCGGGGGGCTTTCAGGCGGAGGGAGAGCCCCCTCCTCCCTTCTCTTCCTTTCCTTGCCAGTCCCTTCTTTCCATCCCAGATCAGAAACGGAACCCGGATCCGGAGCCATCCCGCCCCTGCTTTGGAGATTGAATGCCATGGCTCCAGGCTCCGGAGTCTTTGGGATGTGTAGTTTGACCAAGCCCTTCGCCTTCTCCCCCCCCCCTCCCCAAAAGCAAGGCTTGGAGCAGCAAACCGCAAAGCCCTCGCTTCTGTGGGTTTGCTCTTAAGTTGCATTTGTATGCAAGTCGGAACAGGGACCTGTTTCAAGGGTCACTCCAGCCAAACGTATACCTTTTTCGGCATAGGGAAGGGTGGACAGTACACCTTCCTTCCTTCCTTCCTTCCTTCCTTCCTTCCTTCCTTCCTTCTTTCCTTCCTTCCTTCCTTCCCTTCCTTCCTTTCCTTTCCTTTCCTTTCCTTTCCTTTCCTTTCCTTTCCTGCCTGGGCCCCTCTTCAGGAGATTCCCCCCTCACTTTCCGTCCCGTTCTTGTAATTCGGATGTTTCTATCCCGGATTTACTCCCCAAACGGGCCCGATTTCCTTTTGCTGAACCTTGCAAGGCGGTGCGGGAGGGAGCTTTCCGCCTCCAAAGAAGGAAACCCTCTCCTTCCCTTCCGTCCGTCCTCCCTTCCCTTCCTTCCTTATTTCTTTCTTTTCTTCCTTCTTTCCTACTGACCTTTCTCTTCCTTTCTTCTTTCCTTTTCCTTCCTTCCTTCTTCTTTCTTTTTCCTTCCCTTCCTTTTTTCCTTTTTCCTTTTTCCTTCCTTTTTTCCCTTCCTTCCTTTCTTC